TGTTAGCCCTTGGCTTAAGCCATGAGTAAGTGTGGACTTCTGACTTCTTGAACAATATCACTGACATTTCTTCATTTTTTTTTTTTAGCATCTGAGACCTCAGACACCTTTAAAATGACTGATGTATGGCATTGGGTAGTGATGTGCTCTCATTAGAAACAGGAAAAGCATCTTCCAAGTTACAAATAGTTGGAAACATTTTATCTCTGCTTTACGTCAATAACTAGTATGCAAACTCTCTGAGGAGAGTGGCTGTAACTTTTTAAATGCTGTGTACAGCCACGAGCAAAGTCTGGAAACTAGAAAAATGTTTATACCATAGAAATATCACAGCGTGGTTACAGGGCCGTTACACCCCGGTGTGGGTAGACAAGGGAGGAAGGGAGAATGAAAGATGATGAGGATGTTGCTGTTTGTAGGAGAAGCCTGATCTGACAAGATTAACCTCAGAAGGTCTAAGACCATCATGATTAAAAGCGACACAGTCCAATTTGAGGGAAAATGTTGGTGGCAGGTTTATGAGAGACCCATGGCAAGGACCAAGATACCATACGCTCTGGGAACATAGAAGGTTCTTAAGATGCAGCACACGCAGGGTTCTTACAGGATCCTTCAAAACTTAATTTCAATAATCGTGCATTACTGCCATTCGTTTGTTAATGGTTTTTTAAAATTTGGCACCCTAAGAAGAGGCAACAGAAGTAAAAATAAACTAAAAGGACTACATCAAACTAAAAAGCTTCTGCACAGCAAAGGAAACCATCAACAAAAAGAAAAGGCAACCTACTGAGTGAGAGAAAACATTAGCAAATCATGCATCTGATAAAGGGCTAATATCTAAAATATGTAAGGAACTCATACAACTCAGTAACAATAAAAAAAAATCCAATTAAAACATGGGCAGAGGATCTGAACAGACACTTCCCAGAGAAGACTTACAGATGGCCAGCAGCACATGAACAGCTATCCAGCATCATTCACGATCAGGGAAACGCATATCGAAACCACAGTGAGATAGCACCTCACGCCTGTCAGAACGGCCGTCATCAAGAAGACGAGAAATAGCCAGGGCTGTGAGGCTGCGGAGAAGAGGGGATCCTCCCCCACTGCTAGGGGGCATGCGAATTGGTGCAGCCACTGTGGAAAACAGTATGGAGGCTCCTCTAAAAACAGAATTACCATGTGATCCAGCAATCCCACTACTGGGTATATATCCAAAACAATGAAAACAGTAACTTGAAAAGATACCTGAACCCACGTTCACAGCAGCGTTATTCACAACAGCTATGACACGGAGACAACCTGAGAGTCCAGCAGTGGGTGAATGGCTAAAAGAAACTGCGATCACATATATACTTTAAATATATATATATACACACACACACACACACACAATACACACAATGGAATATTATTCAGTCATAACAAAACCCTGAAAATCCTGACCTTTTCAGCAACATAAATGGACCCTGAGGGCATTGTGCTAAAGTGAAGGAAGTAAGACAGAGAAAGACAAATACCATTTGATCCCACTGACATGTAGACTCTAAAAACAAACCCCCAAATACCCTGAGCTCACAGATAAAGGGCACAGACCGGTGTCTGTCAGAGGCAGGGGTGAGGTGGGGTGAAACAGGTGAAGGGAGTCAACAGGTACAAACTTCCAGTCATCAAATACATGAGTCGTGGGGAGATCATACAAAAAATGTTTTTAATTTTTAAAAAATTGTATGCTGAGCACCTACTGGGCATGAGGCCCTGGGCTAAAGGTGGAGAAAAGGATTTTCAAGTGATGATTCGTTCCTCAAAATGCTTTTCAGGAATATTTATTAGACACCATGTGTTTTTTAGCAGGAAGCAGCAGGTGAAGGAGAGACGCTAACTGGCCAAACAGGAGGCTGGCCTACTTCCTGAATGAATGAAGGGTAGGACATAGGGTCTGGCGAGTGTAATAAAAAGAGTGTTTAAATCAGGGCCATCCCAGAAGAGGGATGCCCTCGCATTCTGTGGGAGCGCATCACTGAAAGGTCTTCTCGACACGCAGTGAGGTGGGAGGACCCTGAAGGATGGAAGGGATGGGGAGGTCGGGGAGGGAGGCTAGCCTAGATTCCCCATGGTGGGCGATGGGAAACCCGCCCCTTCCGGGTGGGGCTGCAAGGCCTTGCCTCAGGTGAAGGCACCTCCCTCCTCACATGGAAGGTCAGAGAGGCAGCAGCCACAGCCCCTGCGGGAGTGATGGCCAGATCTGCGGGTCCTAGAAGTCCCCATGTTGACTGACGGACCCCCTCCTGTTCACGGTCTCTCCCTGCCCTGGACCATGGTCCTTCCTAAGCCAGGGGAGGGAGGCCTCCCCTGGAGCCCAGCCTCATCGCTTAGGGACCATTCTCCAGGATCTAGCTTGCAGGGCTGGGCCAAGTTTGACATGCTCTCGGGCCTGGTCCTGGAGCCGGGCTCCCACCTCCCCCACTCCTCCTCCACCCCACTTTCCTCTAGCCTAGCCGAGCAGCAGAGGGTGGGCAGGGAAAAGGCGCAGGGCCTCGGTCCTACAAATGGAGCCACTGTAGAAGCGGGGAGGGCAGGGGGCCTTGGCTGCCTCCATCAACACCCAAACAGCTTTGCGTGGGGGTCCTAAGTTATCAAACACGCAAAAACTGCTTTAACATCTCGTGATAAGGATGCTCGCAGTGGGTGTGGGAGTGGCTTCAGAGGGAAGGCTTTCTTTTGATTCCTATCCCAGCCCACAGGCTCGATGACTAACGTCAAGCTGATGGTAGTAACAGAGAGGAACTGCTTTCATCTTAAAGATGCCTGGCTCTCATTTCTGATGGTTGAATTGTCAGTTTCACGTCAGAAGCTTTGGGGGTCCTGCTCACCACCCACTCTGGACCTGCTGTTCAGTTTGTCCCTCCTGGAGGCTTCTGGGGACAATGGGCCTGAGCAGATGGACGAGGACATGGGTTTAAAAGTAGGGAGACCTGGGTTCCAAGAGCTTGAGGCCACACACCCACCTGAGGCTTTTCTCGCTCCTTCAGCTGGAAGAGTGTTTCTCAAAATGTGGTCCTCAGACCAGTGGCATCAGCCTCACTTGGGGACTTGTCAGAACTTGCTAGAAATGCAGACTCCCAGGCTCACCCTAGACCTACAGATTAGACACTCGGGGCCTGGGGCCCAGCTAGCTGAGTTTGAACATACTCTCCAAGGGTTTCTGACGCACTTGGGAACCCAAGCTGGAAGAAATCTACCCTCCTTCTGGACATAAATGCCACGTTCAGTAAGCACCCAGATTTCCGGGTGGATGTGAAACCACAGCAGGATGCGCCCCACACACTGAGGCTGAAGGAAGAGTCGGGCTTATCTGTGGCTGGATAAGGAGGACAGTGGGCAGATAAATCCAGGCTCGAATCTGAGACTCTGGGTTTTAACAGGGCGTAGGAGTGTCTAAGGGGATAATCACGGGGGCTGGGGGGCGGGGGGGACTCTGCCCTTTGTCATTCAGCAGGTGATTGGGATCAGGAGTGGCTGGAATTCGAGGCAGGGGTCTTGGACTTTGAATGGCATTCTCTTCGATACAACGTGGTCCGTGGTCTTCCCCGTAAACCTCTAAGCCAGAAATAATGGTTACTTGGCCCATTGTACTGATGAAAAATCTTTAAGAATCCAAGACAGGGAGGGGTTTACGGTGAACCTGGCGGTGATCAGGCAGAGGCAGATCCAGCATGGTGGGGCCTGAAACTTACGTGATTTTGGTGGTTCTATTTAAGAAAAAGAACGCAGGATGTATTACGTTCACAGATTTTACAAAACACCTGGCCAATCGGACACACAGCCAGGGCCCCCACTCAGGACCTCAGAAAAGCCTGTCCAGGGAGGAGCCTTAAACTGAAGCTCCGTCAGCCCCACAGTAAATCTGCCTCTGGGACCAGGAGGGACACACGTGCTCACCCTCGCCCTTCAGTCTGAATGTTTTCCTGGCTCTGATTGGACTCCACCAGCCCAGAAGCCAACTAGACAGTTTTCAGCCTTTTCCCCTTCTTGTGTCTTCTTCCTTCTTAATTTCATTTTGTTGCTGCCTGCAGTCACCGGATGTAGTTATAGAGATGACTCTGGAAGATGAGGCAGGGCAGACTTCTTGCTTTCCTTTCTGGCTCAGAGGCGAGGAGGGGTACACTGGCCCCTGGAATGATCAGGCCTTGACCGCATGGCTGAGGTTGGGGGGTGCGCTGCATTAGAGTGTTCTAACCTTTCCAAACACTGACCGCCTCCCTCTCAGTCCCTGCTCAGCTCAGATCCCTCTCCTTCCAGCCGCTTCCATGGATGGCATCCCTTCTCCTAAAGTCAGCCCGACCTGTAACCTCAGGGCACTTCTGCCTTCCCAGCATCTTAGGACCAGTGCCTCGCCCAGAGCCCCGCAGAAACAGACGGCGGGGATCAGATCCTCTGACTGCCCCTTTCCAGAGGCTCCAGACCACACTCTGTGACAGCAAGTCTCGCCTTGACAAACCATCAAGAGTTTTCTCTCCTTTTAAAAGTTCTCCCGGGAACACAATGTGGGTCACTCAGCACCACGACCCTGACCGGCAGCCCCTGAGTGAAGCAATCCCCACCTTCCATCCTTGGAGCGGACACCCCTGAGATCAGCCATCAGCGTCCAGAAGGCTCTGGAGGCGGCTGAAGAGACGTGTGTGCCCGACAGTCCTCCCCGCACGGTGTGCTTCTGCTGCTTCGCCCCCGCCCCCCATCTTGATACTTTCGCAGGTTTCTCAGATCCCCACTGGGCTGCGAACCTTGGTCTGGAAACCAGAGCCAGCTCCCGGGGAGCCTGCCGAGCTGTCTCAGCTGCTGCCTGGCGGGCCCCACGTTCCTCGGAGCCCCCGGGGTGGAAGCCCTGCCTCGGGGTGGGGGTGTGCAGCTCTCTCGGGGTCTGTGAGAGCGGCACCTGGACAGACGCCCCGCTCACCTGAGGACAGGAGGACAGGAGGACAGACGGACGCCCCGCTCACCTGAGGACAGGAGGCTCCCGCTGCTGCCGCTGATGATCTTGCCCTTGCTGCCCATGTTGGCCAGCTTGGACGTCTTCAGCGTCCCCGTCTCCGTCAGGTCGATCGCGATTTCGCTCAGGCTCCGGGCGGCATGGATTTTCGACTAGAGAGACAACCAGGTTATGCAGGTCAGATGGGGGACAGGGACGCTCCCCTCCGAGTGATGACAAGCCAAGCCGTGACAGTGATGGCCCAACCACTTGTCATCCTGAAATCTTGTAAACGGACTCACCGCCCAAACTGCAGCATTTCTCTGTGTGTCCCTGGGGCCCACGGCTAATCCCTGGGGCTTCCCTGCAGGAGCAGACAGGACGACAGGTGACTCGGGCCAGAAATGTTCTAAGCCTGTCACCCCACAGGTGGTATGTCCAGGGCCTGCGAGTGTGGACAAGGAGTCGGACAGACCTCGCTGGAGTCCTGATTCAGGGGAATTACCTAACCACACTTGGCCCGTGTGAGCCCAACTCTGCCCGCGACTCAGAAGCCATGGAGGATGGGCAGACCGTCGCCCGGCTCTCTCACTTACATCCTGTGCCCAGGTGCCCACAGCTGTCCAGTAACATCTGTCTGAACCCTGAAGCTTTGCCCTTCCTCTGGCCCCACACTGATGCTGACATCAGTGAAAGACAGTGACTTCCGACTGCCAGGCACTCTCCTCGTGTGAACAAGATGAGAGCCCGAGGGGCAGAGCAAATGCTGAGGCTTTTGCTTGTTAGGTTCACTGGGTCTGACCCGTCTCCCTCCTCCCCCACTTCCAGCTCACTGGTCCTGCCCTGTCTCAGCGTCTCCTCTCCGACTCCCGCTTCTGCTCCTGCCTTCAGAACCAGCCTGCCTTCCTCCGGTTAGGGCTTCCTTGCTCATAAAAGGATCCCAGCTGCCGGGCCCCGCAGGGCTTTCTGGCTTGTCGCAGAAAGCAGGGGCGCTATCTGTTTCATTTTGACACAGGACATCAGTAGCTTCCACCTGGCGGAGTTTTATCTTCTGAGCAAACTACAGGAGGCACAATCCATTCCTTCCTTTCTTTCAGGAAGGGACTACTCTTTTTATGAAGGCCCACACTTGCAGTTACATAAGATTAACTCATGAAGACACAGACCAACTTAGCCTGGGTTCAGGCTCTGAAGTCAGAATGATCCAGATTGAAATTTGGACTCTTCCCAGTGAATCACCATTTGACCTTGACTTTCAGCCTCTCCCTGTTTGTATGATGGGAGCTCTTAAAACCAGCATCACAGAGTTGTGATGTCAGGGCTGAATTAGACAAGAGACGGCAAGGCCACCGGAGTCGGAATTGGAACAGGATATAAATCAGGGCCTGGCAGTCATCTGCTAAATAAGGTTAGATTAATGATTCAACTGGATATTTGGGGGGATCTCATTAATCACACAGAAGACGTGTCCCCATCCCCAACCCCCCACCATTCCCGTCACACCAATCTCGGAAGCAGGAAACAAAATACGGAAAAGGGACAACAGACATACTTCCCAAGAGAGATTTATTTCACAGAAATTCTAGAAGGCTACCAGCTTCTCTCTAGATTGGAAATCTCACGACTAGAAGGACCAGATGGAGGAAGCACTATGGGGAGATGGACTGATGGGGAGATCTCTCATTGCAGGATTAAGTCTTCTGGCCAACGCAGAAGAGCTTCCAAATTTCTGGACGTTTTGCTATGAGGGTCTTGTCTCACTAAGTATTATTATGGACATCCTGTGAGCAAGGTTTAAGGGGCCCCCTATCATGCTTTCACTGGGTTTTTAATCCAAATGCAATAAAGAATAGCAGACTGGATCAGAAGGAAAAAAAAGATTAAGAAGAAGGAAAGATGTTTGGACAGGGTGTGGGGCCAACTCAAGAAGTCCTCAATCTGAATTCAGAGGAAAAGTGACTAATTTTTACCCTGAACAATTTAAACTTTCCAATATTTTCCTCCAGACTCTACAAGACATTCCTGGGCTCTGGGGTACGCAGGTTGCCAGGATCCAGCTGACATTTCTAATCTTTGGGGTCAGCAGGTATAATTTACCAAAGGTAACTGGTGCCCACATCATTCTGAATGAGCCGCTGGAAACCAACAAAGACAGCTTCTTTCTGCTCTGTCTTTGGTGATGGAGGATGCACGCTCGCGAGCGCGTGTGTGTGTGAGAGGGAGAGAGAATTTCTTAAATGACGTGCCCTAGGAGCCTGTGAGAAGAAAATAACCAAGTGTCCGGGGAAGAACACATGAGACCCCCACCCCTAAATATCCAGCTGACTCATTAATCTAACCTCATTTAGCAGATGACTGCCAGGCCCTGACTGATAGCCTGTTCTGATTCCGACTGCCCACCCCCGCTGACTCCGACCGCTGGCCTGCACTTGTTTCTGGGGTTGAGAAGCAGCCCTCGGGAGGCCTGGGCTTTGCTGAAGCCCTTCAGAGAAAGGAATGGTTGGCACAGCCCGATACAGTCAAGTGTGCAGCAACGGCCGGTCTGCCAGCCAGCACTGGTTGTTCAGAAATATTTGGAAGTGCTCTGCCCTGGGCCTGTCAGCCGTCACTCACCCATACCCGTACTGCCAACTGGAAGTGGCTCACATCACCATCGTCTGAAGAACATTCCAGAAAGGAAAGGTGTTGTACCACAATTCCTAAGGTGAATTTTATCATCTCTGACTTAATTTGGGGGAGCTTTTAGAGAATGTAAACATTTCACAGGTGTTGGCCAGGGCACCGTACGCTGGATTAATAATGACAATCATAAAAGCTAGAACACCTCTCCTAAAGCAGTTTCACAAACACTGTGTCCCTGGACCAGTCAGTGACTTTGGTCGGAGATTTCCTGTCTTGTTCTCTAACTGGGGAAAGCAAGCAGGAGTGAGGAGAGACTCAGCCAGAGTCACAGAACTGGAAGCAGAGTCCCTGGACCTCCCTGTAGGGGCACTCACTCCTCACCTGTCCCTGAAGACAGAGGAATTGGTTCCAACAAGAAATGCACTGGTTCTGGGCTGAGAGCAGAGCTCGGTGGTAAGAGTGCATGCTTAGCATGCACGAGGCCCTGGGCTCAATCCCCAGTACCTCCATTTAAAAAATATACACACACACACACACACACACAAGGAGAAGAAGAAATCAGAGTCTCTGGAGCATCTGTGAGCATTCACAGCTTATTTGGGGAAAATTCTCCTGCTCCTGGGAGTCAGTGCGACTCCTGCAGTCCCTCAGGGGCTGCTGAGAGTGACAGCTGGAAGCTCCCTATTGCTGCGAGCCTTTTAAAAGACACTTCTTGTTAATAAGTGGTCTCTGACAGTTACTTTTTGAGGTTTGCTTGTTGTGTCCGTGGGCTGACCTGTAAGCCTGTTGAATCAGGCTTCTCCAGACCATCTTCGACAACAGGGCGGCAGAGCCCGAAGAATGGGCCTCCTGAGATACCCAAGAGACCCCCCAGTGCAAAAAGCCAGCATAGGGAGGAGGAGTTCAAACAGCGACTGTACCATCCTTTGGGTGAAATAAGCTTTTTCTTTTTTCTGTTCAAAATGGTTATCAGTGTGTGGGGGGTCTGCCCACAAGAGGAATTGGCAGTGGGGCTGAGGAGGGCTGCCAAGCTCTTGACGCCTCATCGTGCATCGCCCAACAATACGGAGGATGGATCAGTCCCAAGGGTCTGACCTCCAGCTCTTGCCACACTGACACCCACCCACTGTCTCAATCTGAAGCATGACTCAGAACAGTTTGGCCCTGCTTCTGTTTGATCTAATCATGCCTCAAATCCATGTGCCAATGCCCATCATCGCCAGGAGAGCTGGGGAACACTCTCACTTAGCCCTAGCAACAAAAAGGTTCCTCCCTGTGCCCATTCTCCCCAGAAGATGACCAAAGCCGGGGCCAGGGAGAGGACTTAGCAGAGGAGAAGGTGCATTAGGTAACAAAGGCCATGATTTGAAATTGAACTATGACTTAAGGGGCTGTTTGCTTTCTTCCTGTCCTATTTTCTCACTGTCCTTCTCTTAACTCCCACTGAACCCCAACAATGTCCCTCCACTCCTTTCCCCAAGCCAAGGAAAGAGCAACTCCATCCAGAAGGAAAATAAGGCAAAAGAGGAAGCCGCAAGGATCCAAGAGGGCACCAGTCCAATAAATCCTGGGCCCAGGGTCCTGCCACCTCCTCCCCTCCCGAGAACTTACACGATGGGATGAGACCTCCCACGGGTGGTGGGACCGACGAGGCCAGGGCCAAGGTCAGTCTCCCTCTGTAGCTCCGCACTCCACTCCCCACCCTCCCAAGACAGCAGGATCCTGAGAAAGACACAGAGCCCATCTTGATAGGCTTTTCACCTGAGGGGTAATGGATGGGAGTGGCTTGTGCGGGGCGTGCAAGGGGAGCTGGGCAGGCGAGGCTGCAGGAAGAGGGGCAGAGCGGTGATGTAAGCCATGTGTGAGCCGAGGAGACGTCATTTTCTCACCCACCAGAAAATGCCCCCCTGTGTCTGAGCTGGAGCTGGGTCAACCCCCCTTGGTGGATGGCTGTCTACCAAGGCCGGAGGCTCCAGATCCACCTGAGGGAAATGGAGCTGTTGCTTGTGTGTGTGTTTCCAGCTTTGTATTTTTAAGAAACAGAGCTGGCAGCTGGAAAAGCCTGGAGGATTTTCACAGCAATTATCCTCAACGGTTAGGTGGTGTCTGTGAGTTGAAGACGGTTGCTTTTTTTTTTTTTTCCTCAGAAAAGAAAACAATATGCCACTGTTTACACACCAACAGGGCTTGACTGCTTGTTCCCAGGAGAGCTCCTGAGGGTCAGAAGCATGGGTGGAATTCCTCAAAAGGGCCCTACCTGGCTGCGGCAAATAGTCTGAGTGGCTCTGACTGTGGCTGACCAAGTTTGCAGAAAATGTGTCGCCCTCTTAAAGAGCTGATCTTGTTTCTGCCTCCTCTAGCCCTAAGAGGCCAGGCTGTACCCGTGCACCTCTCAGCGCAAGGGATGCAGTGCCTCCCCCACCCATCCAATTCCCAGTCCCCAAACCAAAGATCCAGACAAGGGCCCTCGTGGACGCTTAGGTGAGCTCACAGCTCAGTGAAAGTTCTGGTCTCCACAGAGGTCCTCCCAGTCCCAGCAAAGGGACTTACCTTACTCTGCTTTCTGTCCAGATAGAACTGGTGTTGGCTGATGGCCATGGCCCAGATGGACTTGATCAGTGCTGGACACGCGTACCACGTGTGCACTGCGATGCCGCTGTGTCCAAACGTCCTCCTTGTCACCGAAGCCCTGGGGAAGCAAGAATCAGAAGGTTCAGTCATGTGTACCATGAGGGACTCTGCTCCTGGGTGGACAGCTTTTACTGAGAACCCACTGGGTCTTAGAAGTTCTGGCATGAAGGCCAGACAGATGAACGCGAGTGTACTTGTGTGTACACACACACACAC